TTAATTAAATATGAAGATGAAGAAAAAAATTTATTTTTAAAATAGTAGCGGAAGACTTAAAAAAAAAAAAAGACCCGAAGAAATAATATTTTTAGTTTAGACAATCAATTCAAACCCCCCACCCCTCCCCTCCCCTTTTCCCTCCCAAACAAAAATGATAAATTAAAATTTTTTTCTTTTCTTTTCTTTTCTTTTCTTTTTTCCCCTCCCGAAACAAATTTTGTTTTTTTTTTTTATTATGTTTTAACATGTAACGCAATTAATATAAATCAACATAATCAATTCGTATTTGAATGAATCAAACAATATTTAACAAAGAGAGAGAGAGAGGGGGGCGGGGGGGCGGGAGAGAGATGAAAAAAAAAATGCCGACAATAAATAAATAAATAAATAAATGGCCAGAAGTCAATTCGATCAAAACAAAAAAAACAATATTATTAATAATGGCGGCGTCGGCGGTAAATATAATAATAATAAAGACAATAATTATTTAAACGTGGTTTTGTTGTTGTTGTTGTTGTTTGTTGTTTGTTGTGGTTTTAGAGTAATTATCTTTTCACTCTATCGATTTTTAAATGCTTCTGTTATAAAATTTAAATACGTCAATGTCTAATTTTTTAAAATCTTTTCCTCTCCATTATACTTCTTCAAATTTGTTTAAACTTTTTTTTTTTTTGATTCTCAAATTTTATTTGCATTAAAGTTTTATTAACAAATGATAATTAATAAAAAATCTAATGAAAAAAGAAGGGCCAACTTAACAAACAAAAAAAAAAATTAATTAATAATTTTTAATGAAAGAGTAATTTATTAATCCTTGTTTGTTATGTTTTATGTAATACGAAGATGTATGAAGAATGAGATTTTATTCGATTTAAATAATTGCTTATACGTGTATGTACGTAATATATTAATGTGAAAATATCGGTTTTGGCGTAGGGAGTGGAGATGGGGGTGTAAGGGATGGAATAAATAGGGGTTAAAATAAAAAATAAAAATAATAAAAAAAAATTCGTGACAGGTTTTGAGAGTGAGTAGTAACATTTATTAATTAGAAATTCATAAAAAGGGTAATTCTTTTTTTTTTTTGTTCATTAAATAAAAAAAGGAAACGACGAAAAAGGTTGCCTTAAGGCTGTCTGTCAATGGAATTATTGTATTTTATTATTATTATTATTATTATTATTATTATTATTTTTATTGTTATTCATTAAAAAATAAAAAATCCGAGTGGGAAAAAAAGTATATTATTCTCACTTCAATGTTTTTACGTATTTCAAATTGTCTAATTAATAAAATGTAGGCGTTTTTTATTTATATATATATATATATATATATATATATATGTGAAAAAACGCGGCGTAATTCACGTCACGCTGCGTGTGGCGTGACAAAAAATTTTTTTGTAGAATATTTTTGGATGGAAAAGGTGCAAAACAAAAAAAGAAGGAAATTATTTGTTGTTTTCTTTTCGACGTTAAATCGATTAATCGAATCTGTTCAAAACAAATTTCGTTAATTATTTTTTTAATTATAAAAACAAACAAAGTTTATTCGAAACGACAAATTTAAAATTAAAAAAAAATTGTAAATTTCACGCACACGCACACGCACGCACACGGTAAAAATTCCTTTCAATAATATTTTAGTGAAAGTTTAAAAAAAAAAAAAATCTATTTATTACCTAATTAATTATGTAATTTTTTTTTTCAAAGAGTTAATTAAGAACAACAAAAATCATTTTAAATGATACGTGAAGTTTTTTTAATATTAATAATAATAATAATAATAAATTTTTACACGTGCAAACTCAAAAAAAAATCTAAAAAAAAAAAAAATTCATATTCATGTGTATAAATCGTCATCGTTTGTTGTTTGTTTGTTATTGTTACGTTTTAAATAAAATAATTTTATTTCGATTGTTTGGTTTAATAAACGTCCAATAAATTTTTTTTTTCTTTAATAAGTCAATAAATAAATAAAAAAATAAAAACCGGAAATATGTGCGTGGCAAAAAAAAAACATTTATTTTTATTTTATTTGGGAGGTCCAGGTGTTACCATATTTAACTTAATTTAAGGGTTGGAAAACAAAAAAAATTCAAAAAGGGTTATTTAGTTATATAAACAACAATCCATCCACTAATAAATATCAGCCGCCATTTTTCTTTTTTCTTTTTTTCATCCTTTTTAAAAAAGTTTTTTTTTTCGATTTTACGGTTTCATTTATCATCTTTAATTTTTCTTTTTTTTGTAATTGGAGATTATTCGAAACGAAAAAAAAAAAACACCAAAAACGTTTCTTCTTGGTAAAAAAAAAAAAATTTCGGTTGAGTAATCATGCATTGATATTAACGTGGGAATAGAAAAACTGTCGCGGAAAGGAAGAAAAAAAAAAAAAATTTTTTTTAACATTCTAAATATAAAAAAAAAATTTTTTTATTTAATTGTCAAATGGTAATAATAATAATAATAAAATGGGGGGAAGGTTTAAAATGGACGCTCTTTTTTTTAAAAAAAAAAAAAAAAAAAACGTGGCAGGATATCACCCGTTAAAATTACTTTTAAATTACGTAATTTGATTCGGTTCTCGGATTTTAACTAAAACGATTATTATTATTATTATTATCCACCATTAAACACGACAAGGCTACTTGTCGGAGTTATTAAAAAACACTTTGCAATCGTCGTCGTGTCATTAGATTTTTGACCGATTCGTTTATTTTATATGCCCTCGGGATACTTTAAAAAAAAATAAATAAAAAAAATTTAACTTGTGGGTGTAAAAAGATTATCATAAACTTTTAATGGATTTCAATGTTTATTTATAATTTTCGTAATAATAATAATAATAATAATTTGTATAAACAAATATTACGATTTAAAATAATCAATCATTCAATTCATTAATCAATCAATCGATAAGTCAATCAACCGTTATTCATTTATAAATAAATATTTTATGAATACAAATTTCATTACGTAAAAAAATAAATTGTTTATTAT